CACCTGGCCAGGTGCTCCAGGAGGCCGCCGTGCAGCACCGTCCGCGCAGCGCGGCTCAGGTGGCTCCGGACCTCGCGCGCGCAGCAGGGGCACCAGACGCGCCGCTCGTGCTCGCCGGGCTGGAAGGGCAGCACCTCCGCCCGCCGCGCCGCCGCCCGCGCCGCCGCCACCTGCCCGGGGGAAGCGGAGGAGAGCCGTCAGCCGCGCCGCTGCCCGCCCCAGGAAGCCCCTCCTCCCGGGCCCCCCGCCCCGCCGCCCACCTTCTCGCCCAGCCGGGCCAGGGCCGCGCGCAGCCGCCGCTGGTGCCCCGCGCTGTACAGGTGGCTCCGGCGACCGTCGAAGGCGCTGCGGCGGCACAGCTGGCAGCGGAAGAGCGTCGCCGCCTCGGCCGCCATCTTGCTGCGCCCCGCCCCCCGCAGTGACGTCACGGCCGCGCGCCCTGCTCGGCGACTCCGGTGGGCGGGGCGAGGGGAGGGGCCGCGCGCTGAGCTGCTCTTCGGCTGCCGGGCGCGCGCTGGCTGTGGCCGATGGGCCTTGGGGTCCTTCGGGCGGCGAAGGGGCCGCTTCCAGGCAGCGAAACGGCGTCTGGGTAGCTTCCCCCGCGGCAACAGGGTGGAGGGGCGCATAGAAATCAACTCCAGAGACAACCACACCGCGTTGCTCTCGGCAGGCCTTTATTGGGACCCCCAGATCCTCCCGCAGGCCCAGAATCGAGGGGAAAGGTTTCAAACATAAATTTCAACATAAAACCGGGTGAGGGTCTCCTCCGCTTCTTTCGGGGGCCAATCAAGAGCCAGGCTCCCGGTCAGGATGAAGCTCCCTCGCTCAGTGCCTTCCCAGCCGAGGGTCAAGCAGGCAATGCCCGGAGCATCCCGAGTGGCCTGGAAAATGCAGCCTCCTCTCCTTGGCAAGTCAAATCCTCCTTGGCAGCTCTGCCAGACTTCCACACCGAGGATCAGAGGCCAAAGAGAGACCGCATTAATTCTGGAGAAGGGAGACAAGGCTGTTGGTTCACCAGGTCTGCCAAGAAACCGCAGGGCAGGGGATTGGGCCGCCCGTCCAGCATCTGGCACTGCCAGGTGGCTCAGCCTCCTCACTGCAGATGGCATGTTGGGTCCAATTTCCTCCTCAACCAATCCTTCCTCTGGGGAGCACGCGCACATGCGCACGCCCGCACAGAGCCTGGCGGAGGCACATCCAATGGGGGGGGGGGAAGGGAAGGGCTTTTGCCCTCTGGGGGAAGGCCCACCTGGCTTGTCCATGCTCTGGTGCACCAAGCCCATCAAATCCTCTGGCAGTGCCTGCGCCTCCTCCTGAAACTTCCGCCGGCCCTCTGTGGTTAACTTCCACAGGCGAGACTTGCGGTTCCCTTCAAGGCAAACGAAGTCTGTGGTCTTCTCAAAGCTGCTGCTGAAGCAGAGGTTGTGCCGGACGGTGTTTTTCCAGCCCTCGGGAGCCGTGCGGAAGAAGGGGAAGTGGTGCCTGGCAAGGGGGCAAAGGGCCAGAGTCTCAGGCATCACCCCCTGGCAAGGGCCAGGCCCACCTCCCTGAGCTCACTGGTAGCCACTAGCCAGACTACAATGCTCCACCTCGGAGGAGCAGGAAGCCCTCTGCTACAAGGAGGCCAAGAGCAGACAACACACACACACACACACACCCGCACCCTGCTGTCTGCCTGGCCGCTGCGAGGCCCACCTTGTGAACTTGTAGATCTCCTGCACAGTCAGGCTGCTGTCCACGCTGCTGCTCAGGGCAAGGCTAATCAAGATACAATAATTGAGAGGGGGGCGAGGCCAGCCCCCCTGGGCCCGCAGCTTCCTCCTGCGGGATCGGGTCCCCTTTGCACTCTGGCATGCGTGGGGGGGGCTCTGGGGGTCCTCATTTGGAAGCAGGGTGGGGTTGGCTTCAGTGGCACTCCCGGGATCCTGGCAAAAGAGGGGCACCTTTGGGAAATAAGTGCAGGAGAGGAACTGGCTCTGGGGCACCTGCTCCAGGGCAGACTTGGGCTGAGGGCTCCTTGCCCCTCTCTCTCCCTTCTTCCCACTTTTTGTGCTTCAGCAAGGAAAGGTGGGGGAGAGTTTGAACCTTAATCAGCAAAACTGCCACAAGGAAAAAAACAGCTTCTGCAAAGCCCCCACCCGGCCTAAAGGCTCCTAGCTCGGCCCCCAGCGAGCCGGAAGACCGGATATCCCACCCAGCGGCCTCCCAGGTTTCTAGCCAGGCCGGCGAGGGGGCCCACGTGGGCCGCCTGAACAGTTCGTGGCACCTCTTCCCCCGGGCGGCCGTCTCCGAAGCGGGCTGCGCTGCAGGTCGGAACCTCTGGAGCAGGAGGAGGAGAAGGCAGGGAGGGCGGCCCCGCGGCGTGTCCGGGAATGGGGCAGACTAGGTTGGGGTCCACCCACATCCACAGGTGCGGCTGCCCGGCGGTCTCTGCAGGGGAAGAAGCAGCCAAGCGTCGCTCAGCAAGAACGCCGCTCGTCCCTAACCGCGCTGGGCACCCGCGGGACGGGAGGGGGAGCTCCCTCGCCTTGCTGCTTCATTCCGGGCCTTTCGGAGCACGGCCGGGTCCCCAGGCGAGGCCCTCCGTCACTCGCTCCCTCCTCGCTTACCACGAGCCCCCGAGATGGAAAGGCAAGGGGCCTCGGCCGGGCCGCCAGCCGCCTGGTGGAGCCGCGCCGACGGGAGGGTCTGGTCAGCAACTGGGGGGAGGGGGAGAGCGGTTAGGCAGCTGGGCTCCGGCTGCGGCGCCGGGAGTCCCAGCTTCTTCGCCCTTCCCGGTGACAGAAGCTCAGCCAAAGGGACCACCCGACCCCCCGCCTCGAAAGACGCGGGGAAGGGCGAGCGAGCTCCAGCGAGGGCCGCCTCACCTGGGGACAGCTGGTCACAGGTGGCGTCTAGGGCTAGTTCCCGGGGCAGGTCCCAGCCCTGGAGGCCGCTCCGCAGGTGAAGCCGGGCCCAGAAGGCCGGTCTCCGCAGGCGCAAGTCCATCCGGCTGTCGTGCGCACAACCTGCGCGGCGGTCCGGAGGTTTTCGGACGAGCCGGGCCGTCCTGCCGCGCTCGTCCCTTTAAGCACTCCCTACCGCGCCGCCGCCGAAATTGCTCCGCATTCCCGGCTTCTGGTTTGTGGGGATTGTAGGAAAAGAGCCGGTCGGCGGACGAGGGTTTGGGAAAAAGCTCGGTTGCTTGTTTCCCTTTTCACACATTCCATTTGGTCTCAAGTTGAGATATTGTGCGAGCCCAGAGTCTACACTTGCTCGTGGTTTTAACATTGTATAAACTTGGAAACTTGGGTTCAGTAAACCATGGTTCAGCTAATCATGAATCAGTGTGTCTTGGGAACAGAATGTGTGTTTCTCCCATTAAAGCTCAGGTTTCTGCCCATCAGCTCCAGGAAAGTTCCATGGCAGGTGTGGGTGGCCAGGTGAGGACCAGATGGCCAAGGAAGGGCAATCCCACTCTGCAGGAGGGGGGGGAGAGAGAGAGAGAGATACAAAGCTGCCTTACTGTGCCAGATGAGCAAAGCATATGAATGGTGTTCAGGAGCAGGGGTTTTGCAGCCCCTTCAAAATGTTGGGACAGTGTATCTTCTGCATCTATCTTCTTCCACCAAGCAGATTTTGTGTCCAAGTCCAGGCTTCCAACCCTCTTCCAATACGGGACTCATCCCCTCACCCTCCACCCAGCCAGAGACAGAGCTGGACCCAGCTATGGCAGCTTTGTCAGGCCAAGCACAAAGCAGGCCCCACCTGTCATCCTCCCAGGTGGGAGACCCTCCTTGTGCTTCCAGGCCTCTCTCTGCTGGAGAATTGTTGGGAAGAAAAGGTGGCTGGAGTCAGCCATGTGCCCAGGGCCCAGGATCTACCCAAGGCAGAGAAACCCCTTCTCCCTCCACTCAAGAGAACAGTTGGCTCTTTCTCTAGTGACTTCACCCCCACAGGCGAGAGTGGAGACAAGGATGTTGCGTAACCTCAATGAGCTGCAGTGCGTTGTCCACCCCTTTCCCTCCTGGGTGATGTGTGGCCTTAGCACAAGCCCCGAGACCATCCCCAAACTTCCACCGGTGGCACACGTAGGGTGTGGGTTTTTCGCCTCACAGGAGCCCATTCAGAAGAAGGACCTGCACACATTGTATGCACAGCCCACACGGTCATTATGGCTGTTGAACTACCCTACTTTCTGGACTGATTCACTACAAGCCTATCCAAGATGAATATGGCACACAGATGCCACCACAGACACACGGGCTCTAGATCTACACGCAGACCCACCAGTGGGCAGGTGCTCAATTCAGGCCGGGCCATTGTTCTAGGGGCTGACCCAATGCCTGCATTTCAACAAGCACCATCACCGAGAGGAAAGGGATGGGAAGAGGGCTCATTATGAAGCAGAAATGCAAAGGCCTGAAAAAACAGGAAGAAAAGGGGGACAACTTGAAAAGTGGGTTATGTTTACTATATTGTCATTTTAAATGATACATAAAACGGCTGAGTTGCAGGAAGAGTTCTGCATTTGGATCAAATGAAATACAGCAAAATGAACATGTAAGAAGGTAAAAAGCTTCTTTCAATAGAGGTAATTCTTCAGTTTTCCAAAGTCACTGAAAATGAAAGATTCAGAAGTAGTAAAGAAAACTGTGAGTAGTAAAACATCTCATTTGACAACTGTGTGTTCTGAGCCTTGCCCCCTTCCTCAGAGGCGCTCACTGAAAATCGGTCGAATGGGGCCCAAATCCAGACTGGAGGCGGCCTTTGGGCGTGTTTCCATTTTCTGCTTTTTCTCCACTTGCTTCTCTTACAATGTCAGAAATAATGAGGGTGCTATGTGCAGCTTAAAATATCCCTGGTAATAAAAAATTAAAGCATATTAAAAGAAACGATTAATTCATGACTACGTTGGTCTTCCACTGCTTTTCTGTACTGAAGTATACGTACATATCCTTATAAGGGTGACTTTGAAGCCAGAAGGGCTGTAAGGGCTTCGATGGCTCCAGGATTATTAAGGGGATGCGGGAAATACGCGGCATTTCACTTGGAGAAAGGAAGGCCGAGGGTCATGCCCCCCACTCCCCAGTGCCAGGGACTACCTGGCAGGCTCCCCTGGCACTGAGGGCCGCCCTTTTTTTGTGCAATCCATGGGATTTCCTCCCTCCCTCCAGCTGCCAGGAACCTCTGCGGTCTCTCTCTCTCCTCGCCTTGGTTTGTGCTTAGGGCTGGTGATTTTTGGTTTTGTTGTTAGTTGCGAAGTCATGTTCAACCCATCGCGACCTCCATGGACAACATTCCTCCAGGCCTTCCTGTCCTCTACCATCCTCTGGAGTCCATTGAAGCTCACGCCGGCTGCTTCAGGGACTCCATCCAGCCCCCCCCTTCTCTGCCGTCCCCTTCTTCTTCTTTT